GGTGTAGAACAGGAGAGTTAGAGGTGTAGAACAGGAGAGTTAGAGGTGTAGAACAGGAGAGTTAGAGGTGTAGAACAGGTGACTTAGAGATGTAGAACAGGTGAATTACAGGTGCGGTGTACTAACATCTCTGTCCACGGTGGTGGCGAAGCTAACCGCCTCCTTCTGGCTGCAGCTGACTGCTTTCTGCAGTGTGTAGATCACCTGCTCATACGTGTGGACCTCATCGTTGAACAGCATGCAGTAGTAGGTGTCTCCATGCTCCCTGTGGGAGAAAACACCCAAGAACTGATTAGGCACACTGACTCAGAGGATGCTTAGCTAGAACACCTTCATTTAGAAAACAACAAAGTGCTGAGCATAGAATACAGACAATAAGGTATCTAGACAAATACAGAGAGCTATCAGACGCTGGATAAGCTACCATTAAGAAAGAGAATAAAGGCGGAGCACCAGGAGAACAGTCAGAACCTCATTCTTCTAGCAATTGACCCTCAGAGGAGTATTAGGGCCAGGCCAGAGACCCTTTATTAGCAGAAAATGTTGGAACAATAGAATGAAGCCAAAAGAAATCTACAATGAAGTCGTAAATAATATGAATAAAACCTTAATACTGATGAATATAAGATATGAGATTAAAGTCCCTCTAATAGCGTCAATGAGTCTAAAATCAGACCCGCCATATCCAACATGGCCAGCGTCTAGTCAGAGGCTACAGAGAAGGCAGACATCAAGAACCTGATCTGTTGTAGGGATGGGAGGAGTCACAGCAGGTCAACAATACCACCAATCCCCCCCGTTTCAGAAAACCAAATCGGAGATCAAGTTTGGATTTTCTGGACATCAACTAAGCCATGATTCAGTTTCACCAAAGTAGAACCATTTACCGCTTAAACTACAGGGTGCCAGGGAAGCTGTTCAGGTGTTTATCCATGGGCGTAGGTTTGCATAGGGACCATAGGGACATGTCCATACCAACATACTGGACCGACCGAATTGTCCCTACCAACATTTTGGACCGACCTACTTGTCCCTACCAACATTTTGGACCGACCTACTTGTCCCTACCAACATTTACATGTGAAGAACAAGTTTATCATTTACAATACA